ATAGCACACAGAGATATAAGGCATATGACAACCAGAGCAAAGAAGACTGGGGATGGTAAATTGGGTTATACAAGGCTCTTACATTTTATATGAAGGGGTACAATGTTAACTTAAAGAAGATCAAAAAGTTCAGGATGTGTATTGTAATTCTTATGTCAATCAGACACAAAAAATTATAGTACAAAGAGCTGTAGCTAAAAGGACAACAGAGAGATTAAAGTGGAATTCTAAAAAAATACCCAATTAACCCAAAAGAAGGCAGGAAAGGAGGAACAGAAAAACAAACAAAAAGTAGAACATGCAGAAAACAAATAGCAAAATGAAAAACTGAAATCCAAACACTTTACTAATTGCATTAAATGTAAATGGAATAAACACTCCATGTAAAAAGCAGAGATTCTCAGACTGGATAAAAAGGAAGACCTAACTATATGTTGTCCACAAGAAACACAACTTCCAGCAATATATAAAAAGAATAATACATCACAATCAAGAGGAATACGAAGTTGGCTGAACACTCCAAAAGTTAATAAACATAATTCATCACAGTAACAGAATAAAGGAGAAAAACCCTGGAAACATTCCAGATGCCCATCAAGACTAGATAAACATTGTACGTTGTTGGAATACAACTTAGCAATTCAAAGAAGGAAAAGGAAAAATTTACTGTTACATACAATAACATGGATTAATTTCAAAAATATTATGTTGACTGAAAGAAGCCTTACACAAGAGACTGCTTAGTATATGATTCTACTTATATATGAAGTAGGATCCTACAACAGGCAAAACTAGTCAATGGTTGGGGAAAAAAAACAACTGGTTGCCTCTAGGGAATAACATGAGGTGATAGGAGTTTAGATTACACAGGTTTATGCTGCTCAAAAAACTGAATGCAGATTACACTGCATGTAAAATTTTAAAACCATAAAGAAATATTAAAGTCTAATTAATGATATGCACACTGAAGTGTTTAGGGCTGAAGTGTACTGAGGCCAGCAACTTACTCTAAAATACATTTTTTATGAAAGATTGATGAACAACCACAGATATCATAAAGGAAATACAGCAAAATATAACTATTGTATAAATTAGCTGGTGGATATATGGATGTTCACTGTATAATTCTTTCAAGATTTATGTAGTTTAAAACCCAGAAACAGATCTTTTCAAGTACAACTCCTTGTTACACACCTTCAGATACACTCTGGGAACAATCATGTTTCCCCAAATATCAGCAACAGTAACCCCAGTTGTTTTAAATGTTTATTCCTTCTACACCCTTATTACAAAAAAGGTTTGAAGCAGCTGTTAGTCTGTGTTATGGTGACAGACTTTTCAGGTTGGAAGAAAGAGGCAGTAATACTTGATTATTCCTACAAGTACAAAACTTTTAATATTTATTATCAACTTGTGAAACTCTTTAGACTTCAAGGGATTGTCCAACTCCTCCTTCCCTAGATATAACAACATTTACTCATTGGTACCCTCTCCCCAAACCAGTGCTGTAACACATTACACCATCATGAAAAGGTGCAAGTCTCCCAACCTAATAACTGCCATGAGGAAAAGCTGATGGCTTTGAAAAAGAAAAATGGGGAAAAGCGTATACAAAGCAGTACGTACATCCTGATCTGCCTGGCAAAGCTTGATGGTGATGTTCCTCTGGAAACCCCCATCGCTGGCATCATAAAACACCCCGAGACTGGTAATAATGATTGGATACAGAACGCGGAAGCTCACGCTGACAACTCGGTCCTCAGAGAGCCCTGATGAAGTGTCTTCGGAAAGACTGAATGCTTCAATTTCCTGATTCAAAACTACAGAAGAAATGAGAAAAGGAGTCTTCCATAAAGAAATATACTATTTTATTTTACTAATATGCAGTAATGAAGTGGGCTTGATAGCAAAATCTAGATAATTATTTGTTATACAATTCTTTCACAAATGGCAATACATTTTTAAAATGTTTCAGAAATATGGCTGCTTCTGGGGCAGGGGGTAAAATTTATTTTAAAATTTAAGAATGAAATTTTCAGCCACATCTAAGTAAAATATTTAATTATCAGAACTACTGTAACAGATTTTTGTACAAACATGTACACATGTGTGTATACAAATGCTACAGGGAATATTAAATTTAAAGGCATCTATTAGGAAAGGCTAAATGGGAATACTGACTGTAGTCATAAATAATGAGTAAATTCCACCTTGCTCTGCAAATTCCCAAGATCCTACTTCTTGCTGAGCACTTTTTGTGGTGTCAGGCAATTATCACAGTACAAAAATAACTGAAATCACTTCAACACTGAAAACCTCTTGCTATACACTATCAATAAGAAATAAGCACATCAAACGTGGTGAGCATTTCTGACCCCTACTTGGTGTTATGTCCCAACACATTTAATTTGCACAACTACCCTGTGTGGTAGTTGTGTGACCTTATCTCCAGGTCACAGATTAAGACAATGAAGCCCAGAGACGTTAAGTAATTCGATGAAGGTCATAGAAAGTGGCAGAGCCTGGATTCAAACCCAGATTTACTGCCTTCAAATTTGAAACTCTTTCTATTCCCCCTCAGTTGTCTAATCAAAGCCCAAAACAGTCCTTTTCAAATAATTTTCTCAACTACCATAAACAGATCAGGAGATATTACATGAGGCACTTAATATGGCTGAGAATATCAGTGCCACCTTGAGAAATAATATAAAAACTTATTTTAAAAGATTATTATATCAAAGTTCTTTGTATTTCTTAGATCTGTGGTTTTCCAACTTTGCAGATCACACAACCTCATCAGTTAAAAACATTTGTACACATACTCATTTATTTACAGAACATACATGTTATTATCAGTTAATATATTCAATATTAATAAAGATTACATTTTATTTTCAGATAATTTTATTTTCATATAAACAGAAACTGTTTTCTTCCCACACCCCAGTGGATCATTTAGATCCCTAGAATGCTATTTTACACTTAGTGGATGCTCAATAAAATGTGACTAAATGGAATTGATGGCTCCTAACCAATCACATACATAAGCAGGAGGAAAAAAAGGAGGATACAGATTTCATCACGGGCTGGGCAAGCACTGGCCAGAGACTCTAGACCCCAAATATACTGGACAACAACAAAAGCTTTTCTCTTTAATATACTTGGTAAATAGGATACCCAAGCTGAAGCGTGTCTGTCTACTAGAGGCAGTAGGTTAAGCACATTATGACATGCAACCTATTTTCTATATAAAACAAATGTACCTTGAACTTCAAGCTCCCTGGACACAAGGGATCCTGCTGCTTTGACAATGCTATTAATCAGAACTTTGATACACCCTGAGTATCTTGATGACCTTAAGGTACTGAAGTAAATCTAAATGCTATTTAAATCATCAAAAAGATAAAATTAGGTTCAATCTTAATTTAGTTATACCTATTTTAAAAAACTGGTAACCTAGGTATTATGTATATGAAAAATTTCTGTTAAAGAAAAGCTTCACTCCTTTATTACTAATGAATAGTAGCATTTAAAATAAAAGTCTGGTTAATTTGAAGGTAAGGTTTCTTTAAATTTGGTTTGGTTTGGTTTTGGATTTCAAACATAATTTGTTCTAAGCTACTTTTACATCATTAGTAATACAGCATTTTGTTAGGTTCCTGATCCCTTTGGGCCCCCAGTGAAAAGCTAAAGGACTCTCTCCCCTAAAAAACACAATTATACACAAAATTTTAACATTTAATGATGTGAGCTAAATTCACAGACCTCCTAAGTAAGAAACCTCTGCTGTACAATAGACCTGAAAATATAGTCCCCAATTTGTTTTTTAAAAAAAGCTGATTGAAGCACAATTTATAAAAAGGCAGGTTCCTTAAAATAACAATAAACACTTATCATGTCCCAAGAACTATTCTATTTTATATGTATCAACTAATTTCATCATCATGTCAATCCCTTTCAGGTTAAGTACTTTTATCCCCAGTTTATGGAAAATGAAACTGAGGCACAGGGGTAAATAACTCTTTGAAGGTCATACAGCCGGAAAATGACACAGCCTATACTTAAGCCAGGAAGCCTGACTCCAGAGCCTGAGCTCTTAACCACTATACTATCACTGCCTGCAAAAGCAAGGTGCGGATAATTACATAGGTGTGGCAAACCTTAAAACACCTGAAGTCATAATCAGCACATGTAAGATTTGGAAAAGTTTAAGCTCCCTTAGAACCACAGCTGAACATAATGGGAAATACTAATAAAACAGACAGATACAGTTATCAGCTTCCTAAAACTGGTTCCCTGGTAACAGAGAACCTAACTGGGATCATTCTTCATCCTCATCAGAACTCCCACAAGTTTGTTTTTTTTTTAACTGAAATACAGTTAAAAAATTTGTGGAAATTGACACAATATTGTAATTGCAAGGAATAAAAAAATTTACCTATGTCTTCTGTTTCTTTTTACTATGTGTTTTACTATATTTCTTTTGCAAAAGCTTAGGCAATAATTCTTACAGAAAGTTAATTCACAATATTTATATCAAAGGTATTATAAATCAACAGGCTGGTGAAATCAGCAGTTTTCCATAACTTTAAAATTCAGTAATTCAGGATTTAGTTATGCACAAGGATTTCCAGATGCATCTGAATCATACTAAAAAATAAACTCTCCTGGATCCTAAAATTACACATATCTATAAAGAATCTTCACAGATGCCCAGAGTGTTTAGTCTGTCTGTCAAAAAGGATGAAAGATAAATTTTCATGAAAGTTCAATTTTAGTCTGCTAAAAATAGACCACTGTACTCTCCAGCTCAGCTTCTTCTTGACATCAAACATGTACAGTACTCCTCCCCTCTGGTCAGTGGTTTCACTTTCCAAGGTTTTAGTCACCCACAGTCAACTGTGGTCCGAAAGCATTAAGTGGAAAATTCCAGAAATAATTCCTAAGTTTTAAACTGCAGGCTGTTCTGTGCAGCATGACAAAATGCCTGGCCATCCAGCTCTGTCCCACCTGTCATGTGAACCGTCCCTCTGTTCAGTGTATCCCACCCACAGACACTCAGAAGCTGTTCGGGTTAGCAGATCAACTATCAGAGCGTCCGGGTGCCTGTGTTCCAGTAAGCCTTATTTTACTTCCGTGAGGCCCCAAAGCACAAGAGCAATGACGGTGGCAGTTCGAATATACCAAAGAGAAGCCATAACATGCTTCCTTTAAGTAAAAAGGTGAAAGTTGTCCACTTAATAAGGACAGAAAAAAAACAAAACATGCTGAGGGTGCTAAGATCTACAGTAAGAACAAATAATCTATCTGTGACATTACCAGGAAGGAAAAGACATCTGTGCTAATTTTGCTGTCACACTTCAAATTGCCGAAATGATGGCCACGTGCGTAATAAGTGCTTAGGTAAATGGAAACGGCATTACATCTGTACAATAAGCTATTTTGAGAGACCATATCACATAATTTTTATTACAGTTTGTCTTTATAACTGTTTTATTTTATTATTTATTGTTGTCAGTCTCTTAAACTTTATCCCAGTCTCTCTGAATAGGAAAAGACATAGTACCTGCAGGGTTTGGTCCTATGCAGGGTTTGAGGCATCCAAAGTAGGGTCTTGGACTGGGTCCTCAGTGGATAAGGGGGCACTAGTGTATATGGAGTCGCAGGGCTGAGGACAAGGAAGACTCACCTAGGTTGGTGATGTTTAGGAGTCTGCAGGAGTAAGGATCCTCCCTGTCTTCCACAGGCACTTGGCAGCCACGAGCACCTATTACAAACTTCACAAGCACACTGAGAAGTGTTGGCGTTAATAGCGGTCATTGATCTTCCCCTTGCACACACTCATTTCCTCAGGCCCATTTCATTTTACTTTCAGACACAAGTATTTATTAGGATGAAATCTAACTGCTTCTATTCTAGCAAAAAGGGGAACCAGCAAACCAAAAGTTGCTAACTACCAAATGACTTACACATAAGCCCTCTACTGTGGTACTATATTAAAGTGAGCGTGAAGCTGTCTGGCCTGGCCACCAGCAAAGGCTCATGTCTTTTCAAGGCAAACTACAGCAAAGTCAGCTTCTCCTGCCCATACCCACAAACACATCTGTATCTGCAATCTTCTTTACTGGCTTTCTTCTATTTCAGAAAGTGTTCCTTTTGCTCAAGATTAGTCTTTCTTTGTTGTTTTTTCTGGGGGGGGTGTGATTAGGTTTATTTATTTTTAGTGGAGATACTTGGGATTGAACCCAGGACCTTGTGCATGCTAAGCACACACTCTACCACTGAGCTACATCCTCCCCCTCAAGATTAGTCTTTCTGTCCAAGAGGAAGTCCTCTCCTCTCCTTGACCTTGCGTCACTAGCTACCTGTGCCCACGGCTCCTTCCCTACATGTTATAAGTATGATGAAGCCTGGACATTAATTTCTGTTTACCTACCATCCCCCCTGGCCCCCATCCTTTCTTTTACAGTGAAGTCCTACAAAGGAACTACTAAAATTGCAGCCTCTAGTTGCTCATTTCACAAAACAGATTTTGGCTTCAATACCCATCATTCCCGCTGAGACGTCTACCATCAGTATAGCCAGTGATCTGCTGCTAAATCAGCAGACGCTCTCCAGCCCTCACCTACGCAGCTTCCTGTGGCTCTTAGAAGAGCTCTCTCCCTTCTCCACGCAGCTGCTCAGTGGGCTCCACAACTCTCCTCGCCCAGCTGGTCCAGTATGTGTGGGTTTGACCCCGGGGCTTTGCCCTGGGACCTCTTCTCACTTTACTCACTCTTTTCACTTGCTCTCACTGGACAATTTTTATTCCCAAGGCTTCAACTAGTCTGAGAATGATTCCTGAATTGGCATCTCTACTTTGGCCTCAACTTCTAAGTTAAAGATCCATCAATTCATGGTACATCTTAACCTAGATGGCCCAAAGACAGTGGCTCTGACTGGGTCACAGGGCCAACTGCAAAGTTCTCAAGATATCTATGAGCTGGTTATGAAGCACAGCCTTTATTAAAAATTAACTTATATAAACTTACAGTTAAGTACATTAAAAACAGAGGAAATAATTGGATTCATGACTTCTTAGTTATCTCACTCCTGCCTGTGCTCCTGAGCTGATTTGCACCGACTGTACCCACGTGGTGGAAATCCCACAACGCAGCGCTCCTGCCTGTCCT